ACCAGAGGGGGCAGGACGGGGAGGGGGAGGGGGTTGGGCAGGGACCACCGGGGAAGGAGTGACCAGGAATAGGGGGGGAGTAACCGGGGGACCGCGGTGGGGGAAGCGACGGTAGAAGGAGACGGACTCGTCAAAGGTGACGTCGCAAGAGTGAAAGAACCGGTGAGACGGCGGGTGGTAGAAGTGCCAGTCGGACGCGTCAAGGGGGAAACCTAGGAAGACGCAGGGAAGGGTGCGGGCAGTGAGCTTGTCCGTGCCAGAGGCACGAACGTGAGCAAGGCTGCCCCAGACGTGGAGCGCAGACGCGTCACCATGAGACCCGGTCCAAAGAAGGGCCGGCAAAACCTGCGGCCGCTGGGGGTGCGGCCACAGGTTAAGCTGGTGAGCAGCGTAGCGCACGGCGAACTGCCATAGAAAATGGGGTGCACCGGCATGGATCATGGAGGTGCGAGCCACCTCCATGACCAAACCGATACGTCGCTCAGCGACCCCATTCTGCTGTGGGGAGTCCGGTAGGGTGAACGTCTGGGAGATGCCCTCCGCACGACAAAAGCGACCAAGGACACCTGAGGCAAACTCGCCACCACGGTCGGAGTGAAGACGCAGGACAGGGAGACCTTGGTGGACACGGGCAGAGACAAGCCAGAAGATGAGGGCGTCAGGCACGTCGGCCTTGCGCTCCTGGGGAAAGACTGTGGTGTAGCGAGTGAAGTCGTGGACAAGCACGAGGAAGTAGCGCTCTCGACGTGGCCCATGGACGGGGGCGGGGCCCCAGACGTCCATGTGCAGGGTTTGCAGCGGCGCGGCGGTAGGGGGAAACGAGGAGGAGTGAGGGGCACGGCAAAGCCGACCCTCGACACAAGGCGTGCAGGGTGGGGCGGGAGAGGAGGGAAAAGTGGGGAAGGAACAAGGGAGACATAGGACGAGACCGTGCTGGGACATGTGACGCAGACGCGGGAGCGTAGGGTGACCTAGGCGGTGGTGCCAAAGGAGAGTCGGGTGAGTGAGGGACCGACAGGAGCAGGCAGCAACAACCTGTGTAGACGCAGCCACCTGAAGGGGCATCCCAGCCGGGGGGGGCACGGTGTCCAGGGTAAACAGGCCAGACAACGGGTCCTGGGGGAACGTGGACAGGGGGGCACCAGTGGCGGCCTCGGTACAGACAGCATACCGCTCGTGGCCAGGGAACGTAGTGGTGACGCCAAGGTCCTGGAGGCAGCCGACACCAACTAGGTTCCTGGAGAACGAGGGGATATGCAGACCTGTGAGAGAGCCCGAAGGAACCGCCGGGCAGGGAAGGGTGGTGGAACTGCGAGCGACTACGGGACCGCCGGAGGGGTCAGCAAGAGAAACTGCAGCAGGAACAAGAAGCGGCGCCAGCGTAGTAGAGTCGCGGAAGAAACACCGGGAAGCGCCAGAGTCCAAGGTGAAGGAAAGCGAAGCAGTGGCGTCTGGAGACGGGGCGACGGCGGAAGCACAAAGGCTAAACAAAGCAGGAGCTCCTACGCCTGACGAAGCAGGGGAAGCTAAGCTAAGCACACCTACACTAGGTGACAAGGAGTAATAAGAGGGTAGCACACTAAAGTCATCAGCATACATCACATGCAGGGCAGCAACAATGGCATCCATGTCCATGTCAAAAATCTGAACTCTACGACTAAGCAAACTGTGCCAGTCCGGGAGGTCGGGCGACGGGCCGAAACGCTGACGAAACATGTCGTCCAGGCGACGAAAACAACCGGCAGTGGTGTGACCGATCTTACCGCAAACGAAGCCGCGGCGAGGACCGGTCTGGATCTGGTACTGACAGCGCACGCCTCCAGAATTGCCACCTGGCACACCACCACGCGCACGACCACCACTAGCGCCAGGCCACCCGGACGGGAGGGCACTCGCCTGCGGCGGCTGCGACGGCTGCTGCGGCTCCTGCGACTGCTGCGGCTGCCGCGGCTGCTGCGCCTGCTGCGGCTGCTGCTGCGGCTGCGGCTGCTGGGGCGGCTGCTCAGCTGGACCTGGCAGGGTCCCCTCGTCCACTCCACCACCAGACGACCCGACTCCACCACCACCTCCACTGGCACCCCCACCTCCTCCGCCGCGCCCAGCCTTGGGGCGGCGGCCCTTCCCCGGACGGAACTGCGCTGCAGCGGCGGTCTCAACCACAGCTGCAGAACCATTGGAGAAGGTGCACTGAGCAGGGGCACAACCCTAAAAGATTGGGACCGGCACAGTACCGCTCGCCTGGGCGATAAAGCGGTGGCGGGTCTCAATAACAGTCAGGGTGTCTACAAAGTCTGTGAGGGTGAGGTCACCTGGGTGAATGCTAAGGAAGCTGTCACGAGCAGCGGTAAGGCGGTCAGGGAGGCGGGTGGCAAGCAGGTAGAGGGTAGAGGTAAGGGGCGGCTGGTGGGCTCTAAGCTGTGCGTCAGTGCAGGCAGCGCGCCAGGTCTCATCTATCGTGCGCAGGTGGGCAGCCAGGTCAGCGACAGTGAGGAAAGACGCAAGGTCAGGAAAGAGCATCGGTAGGATCAGGCGACCCACCGAGGCAGCAGGCGGGGCGGAATAGCGCCGGATAACAGCATCTAAGAAAGCCTGGGCGGTGGTGATAGACCTAAAGCGAGGACGCTCAGACGGGGGGAGGGCATTGCTAATGGCAAGCTGAGCGACAGCGTCACGGGAAAGCCAGACAGAGCGAGCGAGGGCAGCGGCCGCAGTAGACTCGCGCTCAGCAGGTGTGGGGTCAGCGGGCAGTACAGCAAGGGGGTCTGGGCAGGGAAGCGTACCGTCAAGATGTGCCGAGAGCGGGTGGCCATCCTGCCGCTGACCAGTGAGGTGGCGGTGGAGGTCAGCGAGCCAGGCCTCGAACTCCAGAGGCTGGCCGTCAGCGTCGAAGCGAAGCTCCGCCGCCATCAGGAACAGCGCAGGGCAGTACAGTGCAGTGCAGGGCGGTACAGTGCGGTGCAGCGCGGTACAGTGCGGTACAGTGCAGTGCAGCGCGGTGCTGTGCGGTGCAGGGGGGGTGCAGTGCAGTGCAAGGTGATGGAGAACCGTACCAGGGAGGGTGCAGTGCAGTAGCAGGCACGAAGAGCGGGCCGCACGCAGATCGGCGGCAGTCCGGCGGGAAGGTGAGCACGGGCTGGAGATCGACAGGCAGGGCGCGCGCAGGGGTCGGCAGAACGGGCGCGGGGGCCAGTAGCGGCGGGCGCCGGGCCGGCGAGGACGGGCGCAGGGGCCAGGTAGGACGGGCGCGGGGCCGGCTAGGACGGGCCTGGGACGGGCGTGGGGCCGGCTAGGACGAGCCTGGGACGGGCGCGGGGCCGGCTAGGAGGGGCCTGGGACGGGCGCGGGGCCGGCTAGGACGGGCGCGGGGCCAGCTAGGACGGGCGCGGGGGCCTGTAGGATGGGCGCGGGGCCAGCTAGGGCGAGCGCGGGGGCTGGCTAGGACGGGCGCAGGGGGCTGCTAGGACGAGGCATGGGGCCGGCTAGGACGGGCGCGGGGGCCGGTAGGACGGGCGCGGGGTCCGCTAGGACGGGCGCGGGGCCGGTAAGGACGGGCGCGGGGGCCGGTAGGACGGGCGCGGGGGCCACTAGGACGGGCGCGGGGCCGACTAGGACGGGCGCAGGAGCCGTGAGGACGGGCGCGGGGCCAGCTAGGGCGGGCGCGGGGCCAGCTAGGACAGGTGCGGGGGCCTTTAGGACGGGCGCGGGGGCCGTTAGGACGGGCGTGGGGCCAGCTAGGACGGGCGCGGGGGCCGTGAGGACGGGCGCGGGGGCCGTAGGGACGGGCGCGGGGGCCGGTAGGACGGACGCGGGGGCCGCTAGGACGGGCGCGGGGCCGGTAAGGACGGGCGCGGGGGCCGGTAGGACGGGCGCGGGGGCCACTAGGACGGGCGCGGGGCTGACTAGGACGGGCGAGGGAGCCGTGAGGACAGGCGCGGGGCCAGCTAGGACGGGCGCGGCGGGCGCAGCTAGGACGGGCGCGCGGGCGCGGCTAGGACGGGCGCGCGGGCGCGGCTAGGGCCTAGGGCGGAAGCATGGGCGGGCGGCGGGACCTACCTACTGCTGATACCATCTTAGAACTGAGTAATTGAATGATAGAGAACGTGGGTACAAGCATACATATCTAAGGGTTGTACTCTCTAAGAGGTGACCCTATGCAATCTATACAAACTCTAGATTTGCTAATGTTTGACAGCTGGGTGTGCGGGGGAACTGTCTCTGGCCGAAATTTATAGGTTGCTGGGTGTGTGAGATGACTTGACTCTGGTGGCTGGGAACTTAGTCGAAATTTTTGGGTTCAGACCAGGTAGGTGCAGTATGTCAGTCTCAGTCACATAGTCAGTCTTTTGTGGGTGTTGGGGGTGTGAGAGGGCTGTCTTTAGAACAGGACTTCAACAATTTTTACTCGCTGCTGGTTGTGCTGGGGGGAGCTGTCTCTGGCTGCCAGATTTTATAGGTTGCGGGGCGGGGTGTGTGAAAGGACTTGACTCTGGCCTTTGGGGATTTGGACGAAAATATTTGGGTGAGGGCAGGTAGGTATGTCTGTCTCAGGGTCCGTACGCGCTGTGCTCTGAAAACTCAGTATCCACAAACTGCCAAGTCAGAGATTCTCAGGATTCAAAAACATATAACTTTGAAGGGTTCAGCATTCAGAAATTGCCAAGTCTGAAAAATCAGGATCGGCAAAAAAATAGGTCTGAAATTTCAGACAATCAGACTAAAATAGTCTGATAAAATCAGCCCTGCTTCGGACCCCTGCCTCAGAGGTTGGACTAGTAGTGCCACCCTGAGCTGCATGTTTCTTGCTCTGCACTACCCCTTATCTAGCCTAGGGGGTGTGTCAACTTATTCATATGTTGTTATGTAGAAGTTATAGGCTAGAAAGGTATATGTTCTTAGAGGGTATAACCCCAACACTATATCTCCCTTAATCTCTCTTGTTGCTCATCATTCTAGTATTCTAAAATGTAGTTCTTTGTTGGACGAGAGAACCATGTACCGTATGTTTCCCAAATGAAATGAAGCACACTGCCTTTACAAGAGGACCTAAGGAAGCTTTCACAATTAGTATTTTATTGCCTCATGCCTACAGTCAAGTCACATTCAACCATCCCCATGTCCAGGATTCAATTATCACCCTACTAAGGACTGACCCAACCTCCTACCCCTTATCAGCATCATGTGCATGGGAGCACCTCCACAGAATTACCGCATCCACCCATCCACTGCCATCCTCCTGCCCATCCAGCCCAGCACCATGCCCATGCAACCCCATGTAAGTAACCAGCAGGTTCAGCCATCCTCTTACCCATCCCCAGAAGCACCATGCCCATGCGACCCCATGTATGTGACCAGCACGTTCGCCCGCCCACTGCCATCCCTCCACTTACCCATCATCCCTAGCACCATGCCCATGCCCATGCGACCCCATGTATGTTACCGGCAGGTTCACCCGCCCACTTCACTCCACTGCCATCCCTCCACTTACCCATCCCCAGCACCGTGCCCGTGCAACCCATGCCCATGCGACCCCATGTATGTCACCAACAGGTTCACCCGCCCACTGCCATCCGAAGGCTGCTGGGGGCAGCGCTCCACCATCCTCTTGGCGCCACACCCCTTAAAGCCACACTCGAAGAAGTACCGGCCAATGGGGTCGCGCCTCATCATAGTATGCCCACACGCCCTCCACTCATGCCCATCCTGTATCTTCATGTTGTCAGGCCCCTCTACTTGCACAACCGTTAGAGTCACCTGCTCCCCCCCTTCCTCCTCCTCCCCTACCTCCTCCCCACTTTCCTCCTCCTCCCTTTCCCCCTCCCCTTCCTCCTCTTCTGCATTTCCACTCCCCTCCTCATACCTCCCGTGCTCTCTCCCTGCCACATCAGCAACGTTAGCATCTACATCACCATGAGCATGAGCAACAATGTTGGTAATACTAGCATCACGCTGGAAGCGAGTTTTCTTGCAAGTCTCCCAAGCACGGGTCGCTGCATTGACTCCCGAGTGGACCAATGGGTTGACTGGAGCGTTGACTGAGTTGACTGGGTGCACCGGCATATCCATCAGCGGCGGGCGGCAGCGCTTGTTGTTCCTCTGCTGGATGTTGCTGACAGCACCCACGCAGGGAGGTTGTGGCTGCTGGAGCTGCTGCTTGTGTTGGTGCTGCTGTTGCTGCTGTAGTTGCTGTTGTTGCTGTTGTTGTTGCTGCTGCTGCTGCTGTTGCTGCTGTTGTTGATGTCGTTGCTGTTGTTGCTGCTGCTGTTGCAGCTCTTGCTGGGATGGTTTCGTGGTCGGCGCAAGTGACTCTGCTGGCGCTTGTATAGCCGCTACTGTACCGTGTGCTACAGAAAACCGAGTTACTGTAGAACACGTTACAGTAGCAGCTGAGTGCGCAATGGGCGCAGCAGGGGGCAATTGTGGCGACAACGAAACCACACCAGGATCAGCAGTAAGGGGAGGCGGATGGGGAGGCGGATGGGGAGGCGGATGGGGAGGCGGATGGGGAGGCGGATGGGGAAGGGATGAGAGAGGAAGAGGGGCCGAGGGGGGCACAGGAGGAGGGACGAAGGCAGGGTCAGCAGCAGAAAGCTGGTCTGGTGCTGATATGCAGCCTGGGAAATCTGCAGCAGCATCGGCTGACGTGGCACCTGGGGCGGCTGTAGCAGCAGCTGACATGGCGGCGGCTACAGCTCGGAGCACGGAGGGTGAGAGGGAAGCCAGGAGGGCTGGTAGCTCCGAGGGCTGCACTCGCTGCAGCACGGTGAGAATGGCCGATGCTGTCTCCACTGGGAGAGGGGGGAGAGGGGTAGGCACTGCTGCTGGTGCTGGTGCTGGTGCTGGTGCTTCGCAGTTTGGAGCTTGGCTCTGAGCCTGGCTCGGGAGTTGGCTCGGACCGTGGTCCGGTGCGTGGCTGGGAGGAGCTTGGTGTGGTGGCTGGTCCGGCGTGCTCTCCCCGTGTCCCCAGGAGCCGTGGTTTGATGGGTGGGACGCACGTGCGGCGGCAGCTTGAGGCGGGGGGGCCGTCTGGGGCGGCGCACGCACAGTGGGAATGAGAGTAGGAGCAGGTGCTGGGGGAGGGGGGACGCTGCGAGCAGCAGCGAGAGGGGGAGGAGCGGTGGCAGCGGCTGGTGTAGAAGCAGCGGCGGTTGCAGCAGGAGCAGGAGCAGGAGCAGGAGCAGGAGCAGGCGCAGGAGCAGGAGCAGGCGCAGGAGCAGGCGCAGGAGAAGCAACAGGCACAGGAGCAGCAGCAGCAGCAGCAGCAGCAGCAGCAGGAATAGCAGCAGGAATGGCAGCAGGTTCAGTAGGAAGGGTGGGTATGGCTGTCATACAGCTTGACAAGCTGCCACGCCCTCCAAGGTTACTGCCGAAAGGGTTACCACCAAAAGGGTTACCACCAGCAGGATTACCGGCAACGTAACTTCCACCAGGACTGCTGTTGCTAAATGCACGGCCTGAGCTGACGCCCTCCCCGCTGCCGCTGGCAGTGATGCTGCAGTGTGCGGAGAGGGGGAGCGAGAGGGAGGAGAGCGACTGCGGGGGAGGGAGAGCAAGAGGAGGGGGGTGAGGGGTTGAGGCCCGGTTAGGGAGAGGGGCGAGAGGGGAGGGAGAGGGGTGGGTGAGAGGGGAGGCATAGTGGCGGGTGAGAGGAGAGGAGGATCGATGAGAGAGGGAGGATGGAGAGGGTCGTTGCTGTGATAGTGCACCCAACCGGCAATGGTCGGGGGAGAGGGCCATTTGGTGCCCTACCCTTCCTTTCCCTTCCCCTTTTATAGTAGCATCCAGCTGAGCGAATCCTCCCATATCCTCCGTTATAATCACTCTCACGTCCCCAGCATGCCCAGCCGACGCACGCCGGCCAGTCGCCGCCCCTTTCGGGTGGTTGTGCTCGTCCTTATACAAAATCTCCATGCTCCCGCCATCCGGAGCCATCTCCGCTGTTTTTTTTGCCGGGCAGCCCGGAACAGCACAGCGAAAATAGCCCCTGGGGAAGGACGATCCTTTAGGCGGCTTCTGCCCGTATTTCCTCCACGAGTAGCCGTCTGGAGGGAGGTCCATGCCCAGAGACGGAGGGGAAGTGGCAGCAGCAGCAGGGGAAGCAGCAGCAGCAGCAGGGGAAGCAGCAGCAGCAGGAGAAGCAGCAGCAGCAGGGGAAGCAGCAGCAGCAGGAGAAGAAGCAGCAGCAACAACAGCCGCAGATGCTGGTGCCTCAACCTGTGCATCAAACGCCGCTGCTGCTGCTGCTGCTGCTGCTGCAGAGGCAGCCACTTCAGCCTTCCTCTTACGCGTTGCTACCGGCCCTGCCCTACCTTCCCTTCCCCCCCCACCTCCCACCTCTCCTCCCCCTCCCCCCCCACCTCCCACCTCTCCTCCCCCTCCCCCCTCCCCCCCCTGTCTGGCCCCTGTCCCCCCTGCTCCCCCACTACCCCCCTGGCCTGCCTCTACCTCAGAGGAGGCAGGGGCTCGTCCTGGCTCTGAGAGGGATCGGCCAGGCGTCCTCCCTGGCACGCCCTGCTCCGTGGGCGCTTGGAGGGCCATTCGGGCCATTCGGGCCATTCGGGCCATTCGGGCCATTCTGTCCATTCTGCCGCCCGTCTGGGCCGTTAGGGTGATGCCGGATGTGCTGCTGGGCATTTCGGCACTGTTGGAGGCAATTGGGGCTGCACTTGCAGGTTTGAGTGCAGACGAGTGTTCAAGTGTTGGCTCAGGTGTCGGTTCAGGTGCAGCTGCAAAGTCTCCGTTATTTCCACCACTCGCCCCCGTTATTGTCACATTCTCGTCGCCCGTTACAGTCAGATCGTCGGTTTTGGCAGTTGCCACGCTCACATTTCCCACCCCAGCACCTGAGCCGCTTCCCCCTGCCACGGCATTTGCATTCCTTCCCCCTGTCCCCGCGCCTGTGCCGCTCCCCGCGCCCCACATTGCGGCTGGAGCGGCAGCAGGTGACACTGCCAGGGGTGTGCTAGTACGGGGGGTGTACAGTAACGGGAGCAGGCTGCAGAACACCTCGAACGTCTGGTCTTTAGAGGGCGCTGCAGCAGCGTCAGTCCCGTCGTGAGACGCCTTATAACGAGTCTCACTAACGCTCCCCCCGGTAACCACAAGCTCGGGCGCCGCCCCTTCCGCCCACCCCGCTTCCCCAACCATCCTCTCTGCTCTTTCCGCCTGCCGTTCTCCGCCCCACGCCATTTCTCCCCCGAGCGCGGGTCCCCGCGTTATCTGCTCCCCCGCCTCCGCTCGCGCCCATTCCTCCGCGGACGCGCCAGCGGTACGCCTCGGCGACCGTGCGACCCGTTCGCCCAGCTCGCCGCCTGTCGCCTCCGGGACGGCGATTCCCTCGTGCGAAGTTCCCGACGTTCGCGACGTTCGCGACGCAGAGGCGACGAAGCGGGGAGTGGGAATGGAGATTTCTGGGAGGGAATTTTCGTCGAAGACAAACGGAAGGGGCGGCAGAACGTGCGGAAGCGACGAGCGTCCGCCGCCGCCGCAGACGCCACCCCCCGGCGGGGGGACGTCGTATGGTGGCGGAAGCCCCGCGCAAGCGGTCGGCGAAAATGCGGAGGCGCAGGCGGAAGTGGAAGAGGGGAGGGAGGCGGAAGAGGCGAGCGACGCGGAAGAGGAGGAGACAAGCGCGGGAACCGTCGAGAAAGCGTCGCTCGTCGAGAAAGCGACGCCCGAACCTCTCGTTGCCGAACCTGTCGCTGCCGCTTTAATCCCCGACTCGGACGTTTCCCCTGTCGTCACGATTTCCTTCGACTTGTTCTGGTAGCGAGTCTGCTCAAAACGAGGCGATCCTTCCTCTGCGTGTCGCGGTCTACCGTACATCTCAACTCGCTGGATTAAAGCCGCGCGAGTTTCAAGGTGACGAGAAAGCGACGCGGCCATGCGGGTGGATCGTTCCGAAGGAAAGCTACTTCCGTTGCTAGCAGCAGCAGCCGCTTCGTCCGTTCCGAGCGGAAGCAGCGCGGCGGAAAGCCGCCTCCCCTCCGCCTCCCGCTGGCGCTGCTGCTGGTGCGTCCCCTGGCCTCCGCCGCACTCCGCCAACTCCACTGCGCCCCTCTCAGGGGAAAGTCCCCTCCTTTCCTCCTGCCGCCGCTGCTGACGCTGAGCCTCTCGCGCGTGCTCCGCTCGTCGCGTGCTTTGCTCCGCGTACCGCGATCGATCCGTCCGCCAATGCTCCGCGCGCCCATCGCCCGCCAGGCGGACCGCTAGATCGGCGGGTCCCCCCCGCGCGACATTATCGACGCGTCTGATGCGGGTGGGGGTATCCAGGAGTCCAGGTGTGCATCGAACGGACTCAAACCGCTCCGTCTTCCGCCCGCTCTCTGCCCGCGCTGTATCCGCTGGGGGAGACTTCGAAGCCACGTCAGCCCTAGAAAAGGTAGTTGTACTACGGGTCTGTTGTTGCGAGCAGCTTTCGATCTCTTGCTGCCGGGGCGGTTCTCTTTGCTGCTGTGGCAATGCACTTTGCTTCTGCTGCAGCAAACCATGCCTTTCCTGCTGATGAGACGGCTCCCGTCCTTTCTCCTCGCGACACGTCTGTTGCGGTTCAGCGTTCCACCGCGTGTGGCGGCGAAACGCGTCAAGCAAGCTTTGGTCATGGTGGGGTCGAGGTTGGAGTTGGAGTTCGGTTTGAGCGGGAACCGCGTGGGCTGGATTTTGGTCGGTGGGGAAGGCGACGAGACAGCTGCCAGTTTGCTGCAGCTGACGGCGGGGTGGAGAAGACGGGGGCGATGGGAGGACCAAGGGAACAGAGCAGGCAGACAGGTCCTTTCTGCTTGCCTTGCTGCGCCTGGTTGTGCTGCTCTGGTGGTTGGCCGACATTTTTGCATGTCGTGTGAAGTGAATTGAATGAACAGCTGTAGGTGTGTGTGGAATGTGCTTGGAAAATTGAAAGAAATGGGAGAGTGTGATTGTGGGAGATTGGGAATGTTACGGGCTCTGCATCTAGGCGCGAGAATGAGTGTGCTTGTGTGGGAATCGAGGAGTTGACGGTCGGTGCGTCCCATGCTGCCAGATCTGGGAAGAAATATAGAAGTAGGTCAGCGAGTACGACGCGATTCGAGGCGCTGAAGACAAGACGAGACCGCGACGCGAGACGCAGTCAGTCACCAGAGGGTCCACGATTTGCAAGGCAGGTAGCTAACGGCGATTTGTTCCTGCGGTGATAGTATTTGACTGCAGTCAACGACAAACTGGTCGTTAGATTATAGTCAGCACCTGAGTGTGCACAGCCAATAGAGTGATCAAACGTGTCTTAAGATAAGTGGCAGAAACTAGGGCGACTGTACTCGATGAGGTGGAGGAAGTAGGTGAGATGTTCCGTGTCCATTTACCCACGTCCTTTCTGTCGTCTTTCGAAAGCCACGTTAATCCGACAATCCTCCAGACCAGGCCTCTCGCTAACAGGGCAATTCCTCTTAACTTTAAGAAATTAAGAGTAATGTTTCGAGTGAATCCGTTTTCTTATGGTGCGGTTTTAATCCGAATCCGTCCAACTTACGGAAACAATTTCGCGCGATTCCTAGCCTAGCGAGTACCAGGGCTAGCGACATGGCTATACTTATAGCAGGGCAAGCGTCCACCCCCCCCCCCCCACCCACCCGCGCTTCATTCCTTAGGGCGTGTCCCAAGAGTACCCGAATTTGTAGGGGCCGATTCCTTTCGGCAACGGGTTGTTTCGGAGGAATTCCGTCTGTCAACGGGCAATTTAGAGGCGATTCCGTCCCCTTCCAGAATGCCCTGGGGCTTAGCAAGAGGCCTGCTGCAGACAGCCCAATCGATTGCTAAGCGATGGAGACATTGTCTATTGCTAATTCCCCCTCAGGAACCAGAATGTCCTGGGCTACTCAGCCTACTTTTCAGGCAGTAAAGCCTGCTTTCAAGCACGATTTGTCCGAGATTCTAGGGGTCATTAGGGTTAAAGTACAATTCTGGGTAGCGTAATCTCACATGCAGATGGTCAAGCGTGCGACATGACACCAAAAGGACAAGCATGCCACGCGGCTATAAGCCCGGCCCCAAAACTCGAAGATTTCAACGAATTTCAAACACAACACCGCCATTCTAGGCAATTTTCTCGCGTACGCGCTAAACGCAGAACACGACTAGCACCCTGAGCCTTTGCAAACGCCCTACCACTTCTATTTATTTAGGTTAGCTAACCCAAACTACTTCACCCTCCATTTATTTCTATTCCCCAAACCCTACAAAGTGTCACGCTTTTAGTTCAAGGCACCCAAAAGTATCACCCCATGAGCCGCTGCCTGCTAACGGATGTAACCACCTGCGATTTGAATGCCGAAGCCGAGAATTGCAATGCCGTGTCACGGATCATGAAGCCCAAATACGTAAGACCCACGAGGCCAGCAACGACTGCAGTCACCAGGTACCACCACTGCAAGGAAAAATGGTTGAGGGAGTAGATAAAATTAGCATTGGCCTCATGACTTTCACAAAGACACCACAACCAAACACAAGATCTTAGCTTGCAACCTTCATCAACACCCCACCCAAACCCACATAGAGCTCAAAAGATCATAAATAGCCTGTATATACTCACATCCTTGCTGCCGCCATACAGCTGCCCGAACACATCGATGCCAAGGAAGGCATTAGTGCACCCCATGACAATCGTTGCAATGCCCAGGGCCCAGTGGAACGTGAGCCATGCGGCACGGTTGCTGGTGCCCTTGTCGGGGCGCATGAAGCCCAGCACTGGCTGCGCGAGGGTGAGCGCCAGCACCACCACGCCCACCTTCCCATGCGTCCAGTCCAGGCCCTGCGCGCCCGACACGATGAACGCCATAACGCATGCTACTATAACGAGGATAACTGCGAAGATTTGAATGTACCTGGAAGGAGTAAGAGGGCGGCAGCAAGGGAGGGGGCAAGAGGCCATGGTTAGAGAGAGGAGCGGGCGGACACAGCCAATGGGCTTAAGGGGTTGCCCTTGTCGGGGCGCATGAAGCCAAGCACGGGCTGCGTGAGGGTGAGCACCAGCACCACCACGCCCACCTTCCCATGCACCCAGTCCAGGCCCTGCGCACCCGAGCCTATGAACGCCATAACACGTTAAGCATGCCGCTATAATGAGGATAACCGCAAAGATTTGGATGTACCTGGCAAAGGGAGGAAAGAGATGGGTTGCAAGGGCAGCAAAGCGACCAGCTGGAAGCAACCAGCTGCACGGGAGGAACCCCAACCCACTAAATTCTTACACCCTAAACCCCAGCACTTCCGGTTTAGACATCTAGACCGGAAACCCCAACTCACTTGTGCCAGAGGAACCAGAGCGCCCTGTTGGGCTGCGAGTCCTTATCGAGGTCGTCGGAGGGCAGCGAGGGGCGGTCGTAGAGGAAGATGCGCGAGAGCAGCGCGCCGAGGGGCATGAGCAGCGCGTAGGCCAGTGCCAGCATGATGCCGTGGGCGAACAGCACCGCCTTCTTGCTGCCGCCGCTGCTGCTGCTCGACACCTGGGTGGTGGTGCCGTTGATAAACGCCACTGAGGCAGAGCCACTGGGGAAGGGGTGGAAAGAGGGGGAAGACAAGGAAAGGGGGGCAGAGAGGGGTAAACAGGGAAGGATGAAAGATGGAAGGGAGAGGAGGATCCTGACAGGCATGAGCAGCAGTGCGTAGGCAACAGCCAGCAGGTTGCCATGGGGTACTTGAGAATTCTGAAAAACCAAACTAGCCAGCACGATGCCAGGACTGTCTTCATGGCACTAGCAAATCAAGCTCGTCGGCTGCAGCTATGGCCACGGCACCACATACACCATGCAGAATCACACCAGTCAGTAACTACGCCCAGTTGGAGGCTAGGCAAGCCATGTGCATTAGCCAAGCCATGTGCATTAGCCAAGCCATGTGCTATTAGCCAAGCCATGTGCTATTAGCCAAGCCATGTGCATTAGCCATGCCATGTGCATCAAGCATAATGTGCAACGCACCAGTTGGAGCCATGGAAGCTGAGCGAGGGCTGCGAGGAGAAGGCCCAGATGATGGTGCTGCTGCCCTCGCTGCTGATGGGCACCGTGCCGTCCACAGTCGTGCGGTCAAACCTGCGGGGTGAGGGGGCGGGAAAGGGGGCAGCAGAGGGGGCACCAGAGGGGGTTGAGAAAAAGGTACTATCCTCTGTACTCACTTGAGAATGGTCCTTCCATTGCTCAAAACCCAAATGGTCCTTCCATTGCTCAAAACCCAAATGGTCCTTCCATTGCTCAAAACCCAAATGGTCCTTCCATTGCTCAAAACCCAAATGGTCCTTCCATTGCTCAAAACCCAAATGGTCCTTCCATTGCTCAAAACCCAAATGGTCCTTCCATTGCTCAAAACCCAAATGGTCCTTCCATTGCTCAAAACCCAAATGGTCCTTCCATTGCTCAAAACCCAAATGGTCCTTCCATTGCTCAAAACCCAAGTGGTCCTTCCATTGCTCAAAACCCAAATGGTCCTTCCATTGCTCTAAACACAAATGGTCCTTCCATTGCTCAAAACACAAATGGTCCTTCCATTGCTCAAAACCCAAATGGTCCTTCCATTGCTCAAAACCCAAATGGTCCTTCCATTGCTCAAAACCCAAATGGTCCTTCCATTGCTCAAAACCCAAGTGGTCCTTCCATTGCTCAAAACCCAAATGGTCCTTCCATTGCTCTAAACACAAATGGTCCTTCCATTGCTCAAAACACAAATGGTCCTTCCATTGCTCAAAACCCAAATGGCCCTTCCATTGCTCAAAACCCAAATGGTCCTTCCATTGCTCAAAACCCAAATGGTCCTTCCATTGCTCAAAACCCAAGTGGTCCTTCCATTGCTCAAAACCCAAATGGTCCTTCCATTGCTCTAAACACAAATGGTCCTTCCATTACTCAAAACACAAATGGTCCTTCCATTGCTCAAAACACAAATGGCCCTTCCATTGCTCAAAACACAAATGGCCCTCTTTACTCACTTGAAAATGGTCCATTGCTGTGATCCCGCCTAGGTGCTCCATAGCAGTGTTGGAGAGCTTCAAGTCCCCAAATCCAACCGCCTCGCTCTCCTCGTACCCCTAGAAGTAAAACGGGCCCACCCCAGCTGAAACCAGCAGTCAATGCAGTGACCCAAAGGGGCCCTGTTTGCACTCACTTGATAATAGTCCTTCCATTGCTGCTCTCCACTGCAGTGTTGGAGAGTTTGAAGTCACCCGACCCAACCACCTCGCTCTCCTCATACCCTCCGATGTAATACGCGCCCACCGCCGCCCCGTTGGCAACCGCACCAGCTGGCAGGTTCCCAATGGCCGCGTCGGAGGGGGACATCTTGCCCTCGTGGGACCAGCCCAGGGAGATGTAACCCGTGGTGGCCGCCTCTGCTGCTATAGAGACATAAGAGGCGTTGTAAGCCTTCCAGTGCAGGATGAAGCTGCTCGGGGGGGAAGGGGGGGGGAGATGTTGGGTGGTGGGGAGGGCAGGTGAATGCGGAGGGAGGGAGGGGGTCTGGGGACCTTGCCTTCCTGGGACCACCCCAGGGAGATAGCCCATGTCACTCTACGCACTTGTCGCCACTAAGTTTCACTTCACTCACTTGTCGCCACTAAGTTTCACTTCACTCACTTGTCGCCACTAAGTTTCACTTCACTCACTTGTCGCCACTGAGCTTCAAAGAGCAGGTGTAATTCGCCAGAGGGGAAGGGGAGCACGCCGGTGCTGCTGCCACTGCTGCAGCTGCTGCTACTGCTGATGCTGGTGCTGCTGTTGAGGGTGCTGCTGTTGAGGGTGCTGCTGTTGAGGGTGCTGCTGTTGAGGGTGCTGCTGTTGAAGGTGCTGCTACTGAAGGTGCTACTGGTGCTGCCTCTGACGGTGAAGCTTCTGACGGGGCTGCTGTTGATGGTGCTGACGGTGCTGACGGCGCTGAGGGCGCTGCCTCGGATGGTGGTGCCACTTCCAGGGCTGGCGGCAAAGGAGCAGAGCCGGTCGTGGGGTTGGGCGCGCAGTTAAAGTTCACTAGGGTAGACCCTCTGTAGGGGGGGGGGGGGAGAAGGGGAGGGAAGGGGGCAGGTGGACAAGGGAACATCAGAAAGGCAGCAGAGCCGCGCAGCCAGTCAAGGAGTTGGGCGCGCAGTTAACGTTTTCTAGGGTAGATCCCCTGCCGTGCGAGGGAGGGAGGGGGGGAAGAGGGGGGGGGTAAGGAGGGGTGGGGAGGGTTGGGGAGGGGTGGAAAGGAAGGGAAGGTCAGAAAGCGGCAGAGGGGCGGAGCCAGGCGTGGTGTTGGACGCGCAGTGAAAGTTTGCTATGGCAGATCCACGGCATACTCGTTACAGCGCGTACCTGTTCAAAGGCCCGTGGTTGTCAAGAGTTTGGGGTTTCGGGTTTAGAGTAAGCCCAGACAATGTGGTTACCACCAAAGAAAGGGTGGTGTATCCATTACAACTCAAGCGCACCTGTTGAGAGGCCCGTGGTTGTCGAGAGTCTGAGTCCCATCGGCAGAGTAAGCCCAGATGATGTGGTCACCACCGGCGAGCGTTACAGGGGAGAGCCCGTCCGTGGTGGTGCGGGCGAAGACCAGAATCGTGCTCCCATTGGCTGCTGGTGCCTCTGCCACTGCTGTGCCCCCATTGGCCGGCGCTCCTGGTGTGCCTGTGACTGTGCTGGCTGCGCCTATAGCGAAGCTCCTGGTGGGCGTGACTGTATCGAGGGTGGGCCCTGTCACTGTGTAGGCGCCAATGGCACCACCTGCAGGGTGTGAGGGGAAGGGGTTGTGCGGGGGAGAGAGAGGTGAGAGTGCTGCCAAGGTCGAAGTTGAACTTTTGTCAAGCCAAGGTGGTTAGTTTGTTCGACTTGACTAAAGTAAATGAACATAAAAACACGTATTATAAATGAAGTTGAGTTTTGAGGCGCCTCAAACAAAGTAAATAACATAAAACACGTACTATCGCCATCAGCCCCATATTGCATACACCCCTACTGCCCCCGCCTCCTGGCCCCATATCTCACCTGCCAGGTTGCCGATCACGGCATCCGCGGGGTACATCTTGCCGCTCTCGCTCCACCCAACGCTGATCCACCCTTCCACGCCGCTCCGCGCCTTCGCCTCGAGAGCAAAGCGCACGAGCGAGGGGGAGGCGACGGCCCAGTGGAGAATCAGCCTGCGAAAGGGGGCGGGGCGAGAGAGGGTGGGGAAGGGGGAAGGGGGAATTATAAAGGCTCAATGGAGCACCACCAGCATGCCTTGGCCTCGAGGGCAAAGCGCCCGAGCGAGGGAGGCCACGGCCCAGTGGAGATACAGCCTGGGGGGGAGAGAGAGGGAGAGACGAGGTGGGGAGAGAGGAGGGGGGGAGAGAAGAGGTGGGGAGAGGCACATGAGGGGAGCGAAGCGGATGAGATGGTGTGGGCCGCGTGACAGCAGCCCCACACGCTGACCCACCCCTTCTCCGCGCTCCTCGTGCGCACAGCACTCGAGAGGGGAGGCCACGACCCTGTGGAGGAGCAGCCTGGGAGGGGCGGGCAGGGGGGAGAGGAAGGAGGGCGGGGCATGGGGAGGCGACGGCCCAGCAGAGAAGCAGCCCGGGGGGAAGAAGGGGGAGGGAGAGGAGTGGGGAGGGGGGAGGGAACCCTTACTGAAGAAGACGCTTTAAACGAATCTCCTCCCTTGCGCTCACTACTCTACCCCCAGCCATTCCCAGCTCTGTTTAGGAATGCCCTTATCCACACTCACTTGTTGGGCACCAGAGCTGCCATGAAGGAGAATCCGGTAAGGCTTGACGCTGGGCACGCCAAACCTCCTGCCGGACCTGCCGGAGGAGCCTTGGCGCCAGGTACGGTGGGCGGCAGAGTAGGCTTGGGAGAGGGGACGACAGGAGGCTTGGTAACGGGAGGCTTGACAACTGGAGGCTTTGTAACGTTGGTAACAGGAGGCTTGGTTACTGGCTTGGTAACAGGTTTGGTCACTGGCTTGGTCACTGGCTTGGTCACTGGCTTGGTCACTGGCTTGGTCACTGGCTTGGTCACTGGCTTGGTCACTGGCTTGGTAACAGGCTTGGTAACAGGCTTGGTAACTGGAGGCTTGGTAATAGGCTTGGTAATAGGCTTGATAACGGGAGGCACGATGGGAGCTTCAGAAGGAGGGGCGGCAGAGGGCGGGGCGGCAGGGCCTGCAAAAGTTGAGGGAGGGTGCATGGGATGGGAAGGGCGCATGGGATGGGGGAGGGCGCATGGGATGGGAAGGGCGCATGGGATGGGGGAGGGCGCATGGGATGGGAAGGGCGCATGGGATGGGGAGGGCGGATGGGATGGGGAGGGCGGATGGGATGGGGAGGGCGCATGGGATGGGGAGGGCGCATGGGATGGGAAGGGCGGATGGGATGGGGAGGGCGGATGGGATGGGGAGGGCAGATGGGATGGGGAGGGCAGATGGGATGGGGAGGGCGGATGGGATGGGGGGAGGAAGAGAGGAGACGAGGACGAGAGTAGGGGGGTGAGGGAACGAGGATATGAGACAAGAGAAGCGAGGCCCACAACAAGGACGTGCTGCTGAGAGGGTGAGAGCCTCCCACGTAGTACCAGCCAGATGACCATGGAGTCAAACCATCACCGGATACACGTACTCAGACCTCCACACAGACACATGCGCATGTGGGCACTCATGCATACACGTACCCATACACATAAACATGCATACACGTACCCGTACTTTTATCCATACACATACCATCCACAGCAGCATGGGTGAGGGAGCACGACAGGTCCATACGAGCCGTGCCCTGGTTGGGCCCGTGGTACTTTGAGCGGCTGAGAGCACTCACCACGACCACTACCACCACGACCACTACCACCACGACCACTGAGTCACACACCACTACCAGACCACTCAGAGACATGCAAGTACCACTCACATACCGTCAGCGAGGGAGCACGAGAGGTCCATGAGAGCCGTGCCCTGGTTGGGCCCGTGGTACTTGAGCGGCTGAGACGCGTCCAGGGAGTAGGCCCAGATCACTTTGTTCACGCCGTTCACGTTCAGCGGCACTAAGCCGTCTGTTGCTTTACGGGTGAACCTGGGGTGGGGGGGGGGGGAGAGGGGGAGGGGAAGGAGGGGATGAGAAGAGAGGGAGGTGGCCAAGGAGGGCTGAGAGGCCTTCAGGCGCTCAGGGAGTTCAGGCGGGTGCTCTCTGACCGGCGCTCCGGGGCCGAGAAGAAACGGAGGTGGCAAAGGAAGGAGGCGCCCAGATGACCTTGCTCGTTCCGCTCACGTTCAGCGGCGCCAAGCCGTCTGTTGCTTTCCGGGTGACTCTGAGGGGAGGGGGAGGGGAAGAGAGGAGGGGAGGGGAAGAGAGGAGGGGGAGGGGAAGAGAGGAGGGGGAGGGGAAGAGAGGAGGGGGAGGGGAAGAGAGGAGGGGGAGGGGAAGAGAGGAGGGAGAGGGGAAGAGAGGAGGGAGAGGGGAAGGGAGGAGGGAGAGGGGAAGAGAGGGGGAGGGGAAGAGAGAGGAAAGAGGGGAGTAAAAGAGGGAGAGGGGGGGAGAGGGGTGAGCCCCGTCCAGGGAGTAGGCCCAGATGGTCCTGTTCGTGCCGTTGAGGTTCAGAGGCACGTGTTATGTTTTTTAGCATTCTCAAAAGCATAACACAATATTGTTCATACCGTTCAGGTTCAGGGTTGGGGGTTTCGGGTCCACCAGAAGAAAAACAAAAAAAAACGACAAAAGGAACTAAACTAGAAGGAAAAAAAAAAAAAAAAAAAAAAAAAAAAAAAAAAAAAAAACCTAGAAATACTCACTCCATGAACTTGCCGCCCAGGAAGCCTTCTGAGAGCGCGCGGTTCTTCCCGAGCTTCAGCTTGGGATTCCCCACCACGGCGTCGGGGGTGTACCCGGTGATGGAGTAGCCGCGCATCTTGCCGCCCATCAGGTTGCCCACCACCGCGTCCGCCACCGGCGCCATCTTGCCGCTCTTGGACCACCCCACCGCGAACCACCCCTTGCTCGCTGGGCCGGGTTTTGCCTCCACACCCATCTGCACCTTTCCGTCTGCCGTGGGGGGGTTCCAGTGCAGGAGGAGGCTGGGGGAAAGGGCGGGGAAATAGGAGATGAGAGAAGCGAGAGCAGTGCAGGGAGGAGGGGGGAGAGGGGGAAGGGGGGGAGAGAATTTGGGGGGAAAGAGAGGCTAATGCTACAAATTACCGGCCTTTGGGGATCGCCCATACCTTTACCCCATGCTTCCTACCTCCGCCTCCCCCCTCACTCACTCTTTGCTCCCCAGCTCAGCGGAGAATGCGCAGCCGTCCATGCTCGGTGTCGCAGCTTCCCCTTACCACCACTCCGCCCATGGGAATACCGCGATACCGGTTTCCCCCCCTCACTCCCTCCCCCCCTCACACCCTCCCCCCCTCACTCCCTCCCCCCCTCACTCCCTCCCCCCCTCACTCCCTCCCCCCCTCACTCCCTCCCCCCCTCACTCCCTCCCCCCCTCACTCCCTCCCCCCTCACTCCCTCCCCCCCTCACTCCCTCCCCCCCTCACTCCCTCCCCCCCCATTCCCTCCCCCACCCCCCTCCCCCCACTCACTCGTTGCTCCCCAGCTCAACGGAGAACGCGTATCCCTCCTTCGCTGATGCCTCGCAGCTTCCCTTTACCACCACTCCGCCGTTGGCGCTCCCGCCCTTGGGACTGCCGCCCTTGAGGATACCGCCATTGGGACCGCCGCCCGCGGGAGAATCTCTCTTATCCTTTCCGCCTATGCCCGCGCCAGGGTCCAGGGAGGCGACTGGAGGGGTCTCGGGGGTTGGCGCAGGCAGCGATGGCGCAGCTCCGCCCGCCGTGTCTTCCGCCGCGCGCTTGCAGGACATGTCTGCTGTTGCCCTTCCGCTGATTGGGGCGGAAGGGGAAGGGGAAGGGGAAGGGGGAAGGGGGAAGGGGAAGCGGGTAAGGGAAAGAAGCAGGAGAGCGGGAGGAGTTATGCGCGGGGAGAAGCGTCGGGAGAATAAGAGGGCGGAAGTCGGAGGGGAAAGGGCGGAGTACGGAAATGACAGACGGCAGGAAACCTATCAGTCCTCCTGGGATCATTGAAAGCCCCCCCCCAAAAAAAACAGGAAACGAAACAAAACAAAACAAAACAAAAAAACAAAAAGAGGGAAACATATCAGCGTGAGCAAGAAAAGAATTGCACATCCTCAACACATTGTTATAAATGCATTGTGTAACATTGTCACAGTGAGCCTTACACGTTTCCCCCGTGAAAGCCCAGCGCGTTCCCCCCGTTCTCCGCGTACGCCCATATCAGCGTGTTCCGCCCCTTCATGTTCACCGGAACCAGCCCGTCCCCCGGCCCCCGCGCGAACCTGCGGATACCGGGGCGGCGAAAAAGCGGAGGTGGGGAATGCGGAAGATGGGGGGTGTGAATGAAGAGGAGGGGGAGGGGGGGGTAGAGGGGAGGAAGAAATAGACAAAAAAAAGCGGCAGGCGTGCCCCCCCCCATTTCGAGCTCTGTGGGCTCGATTCCATGTACAAAGGAGAAGAAAAGAAAGGAAAAGAAAGGAAAAGAAAAGAAAAGAAAAGAAAGGAAAAGAAAAGAAAAGAAAGGAAAGCGGGCCATGAGCGCAGCGGGCAGCTCACTTCATGATCTTGGTGCCGCTCTTGCGCTGAACCATCCGCACGTTCGGTCCGAGCGCGATCGTCGCGTTCGGCACCACGAGCGCCGCGTCCTCCCCGCGCATGCTAAACATTTTCACCGTTCCGGATCCATCTGTACCGAGATTACCCGCGATCGCGTCCGCGGGGAACATCTCCCCGTCGCGCGACCATCCCACGGAGAACCACCCCTTGGCGATCCCGTAGCCGCCGCGCGCCTCGACCGCCATCTCCGCGACTCCCGCGACCCCCGGCTCGCGCCAGTGGAATAGGAACCTGGCGGAACGCGGAGGCGCGGGGAGAAGGGGAAACGTGCGGAAACGTGGGGAAACGTATGGGCAGACAGGGGCAAAACCTCAGGGTCATCAGATCGCGAGCCACATAAACGCCATGATCTGCCGGGGGAACAAGTTCGCACCAAAACTTGGGGCATTATCGTTTCATGGTTACCGTGTCGTGTGTCAGTTTCGCTCACCCTTCGTTTTTCAGCGTCGTCTGGAAGTGGTAATGGCTGAGACCCGACGGCTCGCAGACGGGAACCTCGGCGAAACCCATGCTTTCGCTAACCGAGTTCCCCGCATCGACTGCGCGGAGAAACGGCGTCGCGAGACCGAGACTGACGAGGACGAGGACGAGGAGGGAGGCGCGGGTGGAGAGAGAGGCGAGGCGTCGCGAGGCCGAGCATAGGTGGACCGCGCCGTGACGGAGGATAGCGGACGCGCGGCGCCGCTGCCAGCGGCTGGCCATTTCGAGTGCCATCTCAACGAGCGCCACTACAACGAGAATGGCGATGCGTCTTTCTCGTGCAATTCAGTCGCTCTAGAGCGACAGCGGGGACGATTACTGGTTAATGGTGCTCCTGAAAGGAGCTGGTCTTTGACCTTTATCGTTCTAATGTCACTTGTCTACCAGGGCCGTCCGAGGAGGCTCAGGAAACCCGGTTGCTTTCAGAGGCTCTTAGAAGCGACTCATATAGTAGGTCGTGGTCGGCGCCCTCACCAGTTCTTTCCTTTCGTCGCTAGTAAGTGGCGCGTCGTGCCATCTCTCAAATGCGTCGCTGGTTGCGGTGCTACACCTGATAAGCGGAAAGGGGTTTTAGGGGGGAGGAGAACGGCAATGGTCTCAGTTTGAGTAGCGTCAGCTGTTTGTTTCCCCCTGGTTGGGTGTGGGTGGTGTTTCCTGGGGCGCTAGGGAGTGGGGCAGCCTGCATTGGAGAATGACAGGGGGAAAGGAGGTGCTTGGGTAAAGGGAAAGCTCGCACGACACAGACCAATCTCTGTGGATTGCAGGACATGGGAGCGGCTCGGGTATGGCACTGGACCACACGAGTGCGACGCGCGTCAGCTGGTTCGCCAGTGGAGTTCAGCGGCTCGAACAGGAGGTCTGCGCCAAACCTGAAGTAAACAACCACAGATGCGAGCATTGGCGACTTATTACGAAACCCCCTTGGAGTTCGTGAAAGCACGAAAGACGCCTATCAAGAGCGTAATGTACACCAGCCCTGCTGCACGAAACAGCATCCAGCTCGAGTCGCACAAACCAAGCCCCCATTTAGCCCGCATTTCACGGGAGTGTAGTGCACACTTATACGACCGCCTGGATTAAACATATATTTCATAAATCCCTTATGTAAGTTTAAACTTATATGCCTCTTTTGGAACTATGTCCACCTGAATCAAAAGTTAGCTCTAAATTGAAAAAGGTATTCATGAAGGGTTGCACACAAATCGCTGTTGTGCGAAGATAATCAGGTATATCTTTTGAAAGCCAACACACAAGCCCCTCAAACTGTACCCAAACAACCTCGAACAATAGAGGCTATGCTATGGCTCTTCCCCACACTTCCCCCGTGCCACATGTCAAATTGGCAATTAGTCACATGCCCTAGTGTAGATGCTTCCTCTAGTATCACGACCGCCTTTTACGGCCGGAAGGGAACGGGGTCAGGAGTAACAATCGGGCCCTTGGGAATCCCCCAATAGAACTGCCACCATGCCCGCCAGAGTGCCCACCGCCGCGCCCTCCTCGCCGCCTTCCACTGTTCGCACTCAATCGTCTGGCAGTCGTCATCGTCATGGTCATCATCACCATCCTTGCAGTCGACGCCGCAGCCAGGCCTGGGCTTCCTGCTCTGAGGCGCTCGGATGATCTGCGGGGCGTAGTTGCACGAGTAGTCCACAATGGCAATACCCCTGTTGGCATGGTGCAGCGATTTAGGGGGGGAAGAGGGGGTGGGGAGGGAAAGGGGGGGGAGGAGAGGGGTTGTTTAGTGAAATACCCCCTGACCTCGGAGCAAGGAGAGGCGGGAAAGGCGTCGTCGGGTCAGGGAGGGTATTGTCAACCACCAGAGGAGCATGAAATAAGGGTAAGGCAAAGCTAGGGGCTACATGGGTGCATGCGTGGCATAGGCATGGTGCATGGGGGCATGCATGACAGCCATGTTGGATGTGATCGTACATGGCGGCGCCGTGGTAGGAGAGGGTGGTCATGAGGTTTCTCGAGTGCGCCCACACCACCCAGCTCTTGCCCTCTATGTGGAACGGCGACTGCGACCCCGTGCCATTCTCCCGAGAAAACCTGCCAGCACAGGGGAGGAGGCCATGGCGTGGGGGAAGGGGGAGAATGTTGCTCAGTTCTGAGGCTACTCACGCCCAGTGCTCCACAGCACCATCTGATATATGAAATGCGTTTTTGCCTTCGATGTCACGTGGACTGCGAGCCCGTGCCGTTCTCCCGAGAAAACCTGCCAACAGTGGGGGGAGAGGCCGATAAGGGGAGGGTGTTGATTTGTTCGGGGGTGCCTCTAGCCGAGTGCTCCACACCACCCAGCTCTTGCCCTCGACGTGGAACGGCGACTGCGAGCCCGTGCCGTTCTCCCAAGAAAACCTGCCAGCACAGGGGAGGAGGAGGGCGGTCAAGGGAGGGTGCTGCTTAGTTCTGGGGCGCCTCAAGCCCGATGAACAAGGCGTTTGTGAGACACTTGTGTGAGACACTTGTGTGGACACTTGTGTGAGACACTTGTGTGAGACACTTGTGTGAGACACTTGTGTGAGACACTTGTGTGAGACACTTGTGTGAGACACTTGTGTGAGACACTTGTGTGAGACACTTGTGTGAGACACTTGTGTGAGACACTTGTGTGAGACACTTGTGTGAGACACTTGTGTGAGACACTTGTGTGGTGAGACACTTGTGTGAGACACTTGTGTTGTGAGACACTTGTGTGAGACACTTGTGTGAGACACTTGTGTGAGACACTTGTGTGAGACACTTGTGTGAGACACTTGTGTGAGACACTTGTGTGAGACACTTGTGTGAGACACTTGTGTGAGACACTTGTGTGAGACACTTGTGTGAGACACTTGTGTGAGACACTTGTGTGAGACACTTGTGTGAGACACTTGTGTGAGACACTTGTGTGAGACACTTGTGTGAGACACTTGTGTGAGACACTTGTGTGAGACACTTGTGTGAGACACTTGTGTGAGACACTTGTGACACTTGTGTGAGACACTTGTGTGAGACACTTGTGTGAGACACTTGTGTGAGACACTTGTGTGAGACACTTGTGTGAGACACTTGTGTGAGACACTTGTGTGAGACACTTGTGTGAGACACTTGTGTGAGACACTTGTGTGAGACACTTGTGTGAGACACTTGTGTGAGACACTTGTGTGAGACACTTGTGTGAGACACTTGTGTGAGACACTTGTGTGAGACACTTGTGTGAGACACTTGTGTGAGACACTTGTGTGAGACACTTGTGTGAGACACTTGTGTGAGACACTTGTGTAACTTGTGTGAGACACTTGTGTGAGACACTTGTGTGAGACACTGTGTGAGACACTTGTGTGAGACACTTACTTGTGTGAGACACTTACTTGTGTGAGACTATGACGAGTTGTTCGGGTGTGTGTGAGGGTGGGCTGTGTGTGAGGGTGGGCTGTGTGTGAGGGTGGTCTGTGTGTGAGGGTGGGCTGTGTGTGAGGGTGGGCTGTGTGTGAGGGTGGGCTGTGTGTGAGGGTGGGCTGTGTGTGAGGGTGGGCTGTGTGTGAGGGTGGGCTGTGTGTGAGGGTGGGTTGTGTGTGAGGGTGGGCTGTGTGTGAGGGTGGGCTGTGTGTGAGGGTGGGCTGTGTGTGAGGTTGGGCTGTGCGTGAGGGTGGGCTGTGTGTGAGGGTGGGCTGTGTGTGAGGGTGGGCTGTGTGTGAGGGTGGGCTGTGTGTGAGGGTGGGCTGTGTGTGAGGGTGGGCTGTGTGTGAGGGTGGGCTGTGTGTGAGGTTGGGCTGTGCGTGAGGGTGGGCTGTGTGTGAGGGTGGGCTGTGTGTGAGGGTGGGCTGTGCGTGAGGGTGGGCTGTGTGTGAGGGTGGGCTGTGTGTTCGCGTGGGCTGTGTGAGGCTGGGATGTGCGTGTGTGTGTGTGGTGCATGAGGTAGAGGGAGTCAACGAAACTGGAGGACGAAACGAGAAGGAGCGAGTGGGGTAGTAAGTAGGGAAGGACAATCTCTCTCTCCCTTACTTGATGATAGTAGAGCAATCCGGCGATGCTTCAACGGCCACATCAAACCCCAGCGAGAAATTCCGCGTCGGGAACACCTCAGTTCGCCGGTAACCAGTCATTTCATACGGAGCTACACCCGGCGTGTTACCAATCACAGCGTCTGCAGGGGCCATCTGGCCGTTATCGGACCAGCCTATACCGAGCCAGCCATTGCCCGCGTAGCTCTCCTGCGTGGCTTCGAGCGCCATATGTACAGTGCACCCCTCTACACTCCAATGCAGTATAATCCTGGCATTATAAGTATTGGGGGGAACGGGAGCGGGAGCGGGGCGGGGCGGGGCGGGGGAAGGGTTGGGCGGAGCGGAGGGGAACACAGTGCGCTTTGAGTGGCTTCGAGCGCCATATGTACAACAGGGCGGCCCTCTACACTCCAATGCAGAATAATCTTGGCAACAAAAACGAGGGAGAAGCGGATGGGAGTCTATTTTTGAGGCGCCTGAAAAAAAGAAGCGGATGGGAGGTCATAAACCGGTTGTGGAGGATTCTGAGAGCGTGGCGGACCAGAAGCAGGCTGATTCCATCATCTGATTCCAAGATCTGATTCCATCATCTGATTCCAAGATCTGATTCCATCATCTGATTCCAAGATCTGATTCCATCTGATTCCCCCTCAGGTATGGTTTTGAGGCGCCTCAAAACTTCCGTCTCAGGTATGGAATGGCGTTTCCAGCTGAGGAATCAAGGGGCCAGAGAGGCGGCGTACTTGGAGTCGTAGAGCTGCGCCGAGTAGATATACCCCGGGAGCGTCGAGGGGTTTTGAGCGCCTCAAAAATATCGAAATGCACAGACATGGCGCACATGGCGCCCTAGAGAGAGATGACGTACTTGGAGTCGTAGAGCTGCGCCGAGTAGTTGTAGCCCGGGAGAGTCGACGGCGGACAGGCGTTTCCCATCGCCACCGCGCACTCGTCGCACTCCTCTGGGGGCGTCGGCTCAGGAGGCGGGGGCGGATGATCATTTGGCACAGAGGCGCTCGACTTGCGCCCACTGGCCTCCCCGTTCGCATCTTTCCCCCCAGCGTCTCCCGCTTGCGGATCTCCCCCCTGCGGATCTTCCCCCTGCGGATAATCCTCCTGCGCGCCGCTGGTGTCCGCCGGCGCGGAGGGCTCTGCGGGGCTTGCGTCTTGTGGTAAGGGACGCGGGGGAGGCGAGGAAGGGGGCGCATCCGCGGGCGCTTCCGGCGTCTCCGTTCCGCCCATCGGTTTTTGCTGCGCGGCTTGCTTCTTCTGGGTGCTCCCGGCTCCGGAACCGTCGTTTGTAGCAGAGGAGCCGTCGCCCGTAGTAGAGGAGCCGTGGTCTGTAGCAGAGGAGCCGTCGCCCGTAGCAGAGGAGCCGTCGTCTGTAGCAGGCGGGGCGTTATCTGTCGCGCCGGAGTCGGGCGAAGTGCCGTTTGAGCCGCCGCCGTCAGCGGGCGAGTGGTCCACAAAGGGCTCGTCCTGCACGGAAATCTTGTTGTTATTGCCGCCATTGCCACTGTCGCTTCCAGAGCCTGCTTGCCCATCAGACGCGCTACCGTCGCCGCCATTTGCACCGCCGTCAACGGCACCATCGGAGGAAGTGCCGGGGTCGGTGAAGCTCCAGTCCCACATGCCGTCGTCTTTACTCCTACCGCCACTACTGCTCCTTCCTCCCTCCTCCGTCGTGCTTCCTCCACCGCCGCCGCTACCTCCCTCCATTGTAGTCGAGAGCTTGCTATTGTCACCCCCGTTCGGCGAGTCGAGCTGTTTGTCTGAGGACCTGTATTTGTCTATGGCGGGGTCGACAATATCGAGGGGAACATCTTCCGACGTGGCGCTTTGAGCGTAGGCCGTACCGGCGGGACTTATGTGACTGGCTAGCGTAGCGATGGGGAGAGATGCTAAAAGTGCGACTAGTGAAAGAACTATAAGATGGTGCCTTCTTTGGAAAGTTCTCCATGGAAGGGCCATTATCGATTCTTGGCCCTGCGCCATTGGTAACTGGTGCGTACGCACCAGATATATTGCTGGGTCCGTACGCCCTTCCTTACCTTGTACGCTGCATGCTAGCAAGGACAACAAGGGCACAAAGTAGCCGCCAACAACTACCTAACATTAGAGTCCCACACTCAATAACTCGGCGGGAAGCGTGCTGAAGGGTTTCTGAGTCGCCTGTTCCTGAACTAAGCTGAGCGATGCTTCGCTGCCAACCTGAAGGGAACAAAGCCGAGCTCTGCACACACACTGTGCGCCCGGAAGGGTAAACGTCGCGAACTTCCCTTGCTCGAACAAGGCCGTCATCGATGCACATGCGCTTCCGATCTGTGCCTACGGCATAAGGTATGCTCGCTGCCAAGCAGACGGATCAAGGGTGGTTAGTTTGTTGGCACCGACCACGAGCGCCGTCGCAGCATAACCCAGGTGACGGCAGCTCAAGCGAGAAAGGTATCGTGCAGCCGTCACTGATCTCGTCAGAAATCCATGTCGTTTGCATTTGATTTGGGCCCCCCAATTTCGTCCACTTCCAACACACAGCAAGGGGCTGGAAATTGGGTGGATTGTCGGATGGGTGGTTTGAAATGTCGCGGTTCGGTTAGGGGAATGGTGGGCTCGAAGCGCGGTCCGTTCCTCACGTTGGGGTGTGGCTGTGTAACCGAAGTGCACACCACGTCCCAATGAGACCAGTGTAGCCAGACTTGACTAGTGGCTAAGTGCCACGTGGAGCCCAGTCTTCAAATGACGGCCAGGAATTTTCATACACCCGGGATCGATATGGAAACATGCCTACAGCTGTACCACCTACATGTGCTTCCATGGCTACAAAAACGGTTCTTCCCTTTCACCAACATAGCATCCATGGCTATTATTTTACCTTTACATGACCTCAATACCACCTCCATATTGACCCCAAAGTTTCCTGCAAAATTCCACCCATTATATGAAATTCTATATTTTCTATTCGTTCCAACTTTTTAGCTTGAACCTACACAACTCGAGAAATGCTCCGTCATGCACTTTCATCCTCAATGCTAAATTCCTAGTCAAAGGAACTTCATTACTAGCAAGGCATACATAAGTTTGGCACCCCTAGACGAAAAGCACCACTCATCACGTGCTTTTCAACCATAAGATGAAACCCACACATTGTCCCACAACTAGTGTTAAGCTTTTAGTGCCCCCTACACTACCAACACCATCTTGGCTTACTACACTATATCAAACAGAATAAGCTAGGACAGTCAAGACTTGCACACCAGCTAGTCCCTCCCACGGCCTACCCGAAAGACGGAAACAATGCATTCCACATCTTTCGTAACGCCCCACCTGGCTGGTTACCCCTCTTACTGCTCCCATCACCAGCACCGGTTTGACCTCCAGAGCTATTGCATCCCCCTGTGCTGTTACTGTTACCAGCGCCCCCCAGAGGATCATACGGGGACAAGCCTGACGGATTATCCGGGGTAAATGCCCCTTCTTCGTCGTCGCCTGGGCTACCCTCACCCATGAGAACCTCGGGTGCAGTGTTGCAGGAGAAGTCCACTCTTGCTACTCCTCTGTGTAGCCGGGGGGAGACGAGGTGGGGGAGAGTGCAATGGGGGAAGGCAGGGAAGGGGGCAGGGGAGGAGGATGAACAGAGGTGAGAAGAGAGAAATCTGCTGGTGCTGTTCCTCTGCGCTGGGGGGGGGGAGAAGAAGTGTTGGGGGGACGGGAAAGAGTTGGGGGGACGGGGAAGAGTTAGGGGGACGGGGAATAGTTGGGGGGACGGGGAAGAGTTGGGGGGACGGGGAAGAGTTGGGGGGACGGGGAAGAGTTGGGGGGACGGGGAAGAGTTGGGGGGACGGGGAAGAGTTGGGGGGACGGGGAAGAGTTGGGGGGACGGGGAAGAGTTGGGAGGACGGGGAAGAGTTGGGGGGACGGGGAAGAGTTGGGGGAGAACAGTTGGGGGGGAGGGGAAGAGTTGGGAGGAGAAGAGTTGGGGGGAGGGGGAGAGTTGGGGGGAGAAGAGTTGGGGGAGGGGGAAGTCAAGAGGCGAGAGGAAGGGTGGCAGTGGGCAGGCGGGGGACAGGAGGAGTGGGGAGATGGCAACGAAAAGAGAAGGGATATGGGAAAGGTTTGAGTACATGCTGCGAGTACGTCAGCAATGGGGCAATGAGGGTTACCTATGCGTGCTGTGGTAACCAAGCGTCTGGAACATGTCGCGAGAGTACGCCCAGATGATGAAGTTAGGTCCGGACTGTTGGATCGGCACCAAGCCTCCATCCCCTTGCGACCGGGAGAACCTGGTTTGGTTGGACGCACGTACACGAATACACGCAAGCATGCAGAAGCATTCTCATGCAGTGTCGACGTGCATATATGCACTAAGGATTGCATGCGTGGTAATGATACACGAGTATGGGTGTTAGTCATATGTATGCGCACAGATTGGCAGCAGGAGTATGTGCGTGTGGGTATGATGGTATGATCGCGGGAGCTTAGATGACTGAACTCCGAATGCAAACCTCCTTGCTGGGAGGGCAGGTTCCTTTTTCGCAACTTCCGTACGCTCCTTCCCCCCACTTCCTCCCCCCCCCCTTACCCCCTCTATCTCCCCCACCCCACCCCACCCTTCTCTCTCCCCACGTTCACAGCTCGGGTTCGAGTGCTGGTTCGTTGCGTGTTAGACAGTGCGAAGCCTGCATTCTTGATCGTATGCACGCGTCCTCCCCTGTCTGCCGCCATTCGATCAATAATGCTACGAGGGTGGCTTGTAACGGGGACAATGCGAGACTCGTTAGTCCTCGAAGCACGGGTCAGTACAAGAAGGAAACTGAGTTAGATTTTGCATGCACCACAAATGCATCGTAAATTAGACAATGCATATCCAGAGTTACACACCAGAACACTGTAGATCCGGAAGCCGTGGAGGTCGATCCCTTATCCCCGAGTCTAATATGATCCGTCGCGTTTACCGAATCCGCGGTGTACCCGCCGAGAGAGAACGCACGGATCGCGCCGCCCTCGAGATTGCCGATGACTGCATCGGACGGCGACATTGCGCCGTTGGGCGACCAGCCGACGCCCATCCAACCGTTGTCGACCTGGCTGCTTAGCCGAGCCTCGACTGCGATGTCCAATGAGGAAGCACCCAGCCGCCAGTGGAGCAGAAACCTGGAAACATTGAAGGGAAAGGGGAAGAAAGCAGGAAAAGAGAGGGGTGTGTGGAGCTGAGGGGCGACCAGCCGACGCCCATCCGACCGTTGTCGACCTGGCTGCTTCGACGCGCTTTGAGTGACGATGGGGGAGGCACTTACTGATCGGGAATGAGCGGGGCGGAGAACGAGTATCCATCCAGGTCGGACGCGGGGCAGGCGGTACCCGGCGTCACTGGACCAGGGGCGGGCCCACTGGGGGACGGAAGGGCGGGAGCATTCGGACGCGGAACCGGAGCCGCGGGGACCGCAGGTTCCGCCGTGCCGGGGCCTGCGGGGGCGGATGGATTGGCGGGTTTGGGAATTGGCGAATTTGGGGAGGAGGGACCTGGAAGAGAGGGGCCGGTGGGATCAGACGGCGCAGCGGGAGCGGAAGGAACGGCGGGGGGATCGGGAACCGTCGGAATGGTGGGTTGCGGGGAGGAGGGAATGTCGGGGAGGGTGTCTGGCGTGAACTGCGGCGCGGAGGAGGAGGGGACGAAGGGGAACGCGAGCTCGATGGACGACGCGGCTCGCGCTGCCGGAATGGGGTCGGCCAACCCGGGGGTTACTGCGAGCGCGTGCAGTAACAGGGTTACCAGAGAGGCCGAGATGGCGGAGCTCGGTCTCTTGCGCACCATGGTTACAAAGGCCATCTCGGCTTCACGCACGCCCGGCCCTGTCTTGTGCGCGAGGGCGCGGTGGTCAGGGCTATGGCCCAGGGCTAAGTACTAGCAGTGATATTAGGCGATTAAGACGAATCACGAATGAGCGAAGAAGAGAAGAAACGATGGGAGACGAGGCTTCTAGGGGAACTGAGCGGCACGAGTGAGCTTCGTTTTGTTTCTCCGTTGGAGGTAGAATGGCGGCTTGAGCAAGCTCTACCCGCGCATAGGCTGATTCTCCTTGCCCGTTGGCCGTTGCACTGAGCAATCAAGGTCGTTTGGCTCCTCCTGTAGTGCGACAAGACACGTCGCCAGCCAGCGCTTGCACTAGTGCATTGCTGGTCGCTATGTTGGCGACAGTCGGATGGATGGAGGTGGTTGGGGGGGGTGTAGGGGAGGAGGGGGCGCGTTCTTGCTGCTTTGCTAGCTAGTGCGGGGGGTGTGTGTGTTGGCAACGCAACGCAACACAGCTGGAGCGGGGGAAGTGAGGTTGGAATGGAAAAGCAGGGGGCGCCGCAAATTGCCGGGCACCCATTAGGACGTGCAGTTTGCGACAGCAAATTCAAACACATTGGGAGATCGCGTCGCGAATTTGAGTCGCACCGCCATGACTCCACGTTGTCACGTCAGGCGAGTGCGAGGCTGATTGCATGAGGCTGATTGGACAATGGTGGGGCAAAACGCCACGAACGAAGCTGAGCAGCAGGGCGGAGCTAGCGCCTTCGCCGCTATGTCATTTGTTGAGGCTTGATAATTCGCGAGATAGTTACTAACGTCGCGAGAATTCGTTGAAGCAATTCAGTAACAAGAACCGGACAATCAGCTATATCCTAACTAGGCAATGCCATTCTACTACCCCACAAAGTTGGTGAAAACCAAACTAACAGGTGAACCGTGAATTTTATATTCACATCTGATTCAAAATGATTGAATAATAAATTTAATTTAATTCCCTTTTCAAATAGGGAAGCTTGGCTCTGTGAAGGTAGCATGTTAATTCCTACGCCTTTTGCTATATGTCTTTGGTTGGAAATATGCTTCTGTATGAAAGGACTGCTCAGTGTATACCGGGTGCAACAGGTGATGGGTACCAGGCACGGATCAGCGACTGCGCTTTTCAATCTGTCGCCCTTGATTGTCGCTCCTCCATCCCAGCTCCAACCACAAGCCGACACGAGTGCAAACACAGCCAGATACATTTCACTACTGGCTACTCTCTTTCTCGCGAGCACCGTGCGACAAGTTCGGGGTAACAGCAGCAATTTCCACATCACCCAGCCCCTTTTTCGGACAAATCCGTTCGGCATTTTGATCAGGCGCGGTCCGCGCGCGCAGCGTGCAAATCCAATTTCCCGCACATCTCCGAATTGATCGTTTTGTGAAACATGCCCAAGCCGCACATTTGGGAAATTGCTCCGGGGCAAGTGCCTTGCTTCGTTTCCCCCCTGGTCATTCGTCACC